CGGGCCCTGCGCCCCGGGACCCGCCGGCCGGCGCTGTCGGGGGCCCAGCGCCATCTAGCGGCGGCCGGGAGCACAGCGGGAGGGAGCGCGCGCTCGGAGCCCCCTGGACGCCAGGCTGCAGGCAAGACCCACGTGTCGCACGGCCCGGGTTCTCCTTTCCCTTCGGTGTCACTGGGTTTCGAAAACTCCAGGTCCTGCTGAAGTCCACTGTTTTTCAAACGGGCTCCCTCAGATCAAACGCCGTATTACCTTTTGTGTTCTCTTCGGGGGTTAAGTAAACAACGTTTTGCTCCGCTGCGGACGCGTTGCTATGTTTTTATCGCTCGCAGCTGACACTGTGCAAATAGGTTTGCTGGAGATGAGTTTTCTTATGATCCACTTGAAGCCACAGGATGCGTCTCCCAGTACAGCGTGTTCTTCATTAGAGTCAGAACTGTGCTCAGCCCTCCCTATATTTGATTCTGCTTTTTTTTTCTTTTTCCCAGATTGTCTACAAAGCCTGGCTGTGTTCCCAGTACTTTGAAGTCGCACAGTTCAACTGCAGAAAGACAATTCCTTGCAAGCAATACTGTTTGGAGGTTCAGACGAGGTGTCCGTTTATATTGCCCGACAACGATGAAGTCATCTACGGGGGACTCTCCAGTTTCATCTGTACAGGTACAGTGCCCGGCTGGTCCTGTCACCCAGCCTCTCGGGTGGCTCTGCTTACTTAGGGGACGTTTGTCTGCTCGCCACTGGTGTAACCTTGAAGAGGCGGCTGGTAGTTTTCCATGCTTTCCTTCACAGAAGCCCTGAGGGGACTTGATTTGGAGATGCTGCCCTGTCTACCATCTACCTGTGACCACAATCATTAATCTGGTAAAAGGACAATTCTGAGGGCAAAATGTCAGCAGTCATTAGATACGCTCCCGTTTGACTTGGGATGGGTTGGGTTCTGCCTACATTGCTTTTATGTCACCTAAGAACAGAGGTTGTGATAGGGCCAGTCAGTCAAATCATGTTCCTGCAAATTGCCTTCAAGTTTATGTGCCACAGCTATTTTCTGAGACGTGTTACCTTAAATAAGTATCAAGAGCATAAACACGTGTCCACCTGTTATCCCTGTGTGTGTGCATGTGTATTAGAGCCAGACAATAAAGGCCAGATAGAATTTTATCTTATATTCCCCATGAACAGTGTTTACTTCTTGCAGCAAGTGATTCAGACTGGGCAAATATCAGCATTCGGTGTCCGCATACCTTATAAGCATTGCGTGACTTAGACACAGGATCAGATGTCAGGGATACGACTAGTAGCTGCTTTTTGGGATCGGTGGTGAGTGGACAGGCGCGGACAAGACACTCTGCCTGGTCTGTGATCTGCAGAGCGGCTGCCCTGTGTCCTCTTGGTAAGAAAGTGCTGTGCATATCCTTGTAGCTAGATGGTTCCATCAGACCTCGTTTAGTTTTCAAGTTTCAGGAATAAAACATTCCATTAAAAGTATCACAAAACATGAAACCCCTCTTCTTACATCAGACTTTCTATAACCCCCCTAAGACAGGGTGACAAATTGATATGCTCCACATGAGAACTTAACAAATTATTTCTAGATCACTATTTACATGCCTACTAACCGTACAGTTCTAAGTGATGAGCTATCAAGAAATAGTCCACCAAAGTTCTCCAGCAAGGACCTGCCTAAAAGCTGGATGAATATTTCTTAAGCCACCCAATGTTGGGGGAAGAGCGTGTGACTGGAGGTTAGGAGCATGCACTTTTGTCCTGTTTCTACTACGCACTCTCTGAGGCACCCTTCATACATGATTGCTATGAAGGTTACAGATAAGGGAGGAACACAAGGAATGTCGTCAATAGCCATAGCTATTGTACATGAGAAAGTGATTTGTGAAATGTAAAATGATTTACCAGTAATTTTTGTTGTTCCATAGATTTGATGCTGAGATCATTCTTCATGTAGTTCCTCTCTGCTGGGGCACAGAGGGAAAGCAAGAGAGGGAGAGGGAGAGTAGGGGGGAGAGAGAATGAAATAAAGGGGGAGGGAGGGGGG